CCTCACTGAAGTTCTCCAATCCCAGCCTTTGCGCTTTCACTTACACTGTGTTTCCAGAGGCTGTTGACTTCTTTGCAGAAACCTCCACTCCTTACTGGGAAGAGCAGGCAACCTGACATTGTCCTTTTCCACTTTCCTGTTTGAGTGTCAACTAATTGTTCACTGTATTCCAGGTTACCATCCCACCCCACTGTTGCATGGCTCTGAAGGCTTTGGTAACAGACCAGAGCTAGAAAAATCAAGAAAGGACCTGGGGGGTCTGATCATTATCATCATTATCATCTACTGAAAACTTACTGCCATGCCAGATACTTGTTGGATGATATTTTATTCACCCACCCTACCAACCCTCAGTCTGTATTATTACTTTTCAAATTTATAGTTGGTGAGTGAGTCAGGCTCCAAGCATTAAGGTTCTCAAAGGCATGCAGAGATCTGTCTTGAATTGAGGCTCATTTCCAGGTAGCCATTACACTGCCCTCCTTAAGGTCCGAGGTAGCTGCATCTGGACTGTGTTGTGGGCAGCTAATATGCTGGGTTATCAGTCCCTCTCTGCAGCCGCTTGGGTTCTCTGCACTGGGATGTTTTAGAGGAGACTTGGCTTCAGGGATGGCCATCTGGCATCAGTTCACAAAGCTTTTGTGAAGTCACGTGTGGTCTCAGGGTTGCCAGGAAAAAGGATGCCTTGATGAGCCAAAATGCAAATTCCGCAGGAGAGGAAAAGTGAAAGTGAGCTTGTTCACACTGTGCAGGACTCCAAGGAAATGCCACAACGTGAGAGACACAGTGTCCTGCCTTAGGCTCCATCATAGTACAGGGACACTCTTTTGCATTTGATCAAAAACTTGCCTTCCAACAATTTGTTTCTTAGGTCATTAAGAGAAGCAGAGGTGACCCAAATTCAAGTCACAGGTGACTCATTGGGGAGCTGCCATTCTGGGGAGTGGGAGTTGCCTCAGCAACCCCCAGAGTTTCTCTTGTCTTAGAGACAAGACACTCAAAGGAGAAGAAGATATGAGACCCTTCACCCATTTGTTCCCATCTGAAAACATCTCCAGGGGCTTCACTAGTATTTCTAAAAAGCTCTTCAGCTGGTTGGGGTTTCCTCTTCTATTTATTTACTCCTAGTTTTTGAGACAGGGTTTTATGTAATTCAAGCTGTGCCCCTCCAGAACTGAGATTCACAGACATGACCTCTCTCTCTCTCTCTCTCTCTCTCTCTCTCTCTCTCTCTCTCATTTTCTCCTTCTCTCTGCTCATTTTGCCTTCTCCAAGACACTTGTCCCACTGGCCCTGCCCAAGCTCAAGGATTTTTACCAGATGGGCCTCACTGTCTAAAAGAAGACAATCTTCCTGTAGCCAAAATATTACCCTCTTTAAGTGCTCTTTAATCAATAGCTTTCCTCTCTTTTCTTTGCCTCCAAGTTACATTTACAACCAAATACTGAGTCCAAAGAGATCCAGTGATCATTGGTTTGGACCAGAACAATTTTTTTTTTTTTTTTGGCCGGGGTGGTGATGGTGGTGGTGGTGGTGGTGGTGGTGGTAGTGGTAGTGGTTCGAGACAGGGTTTCTCTGTGTAGCTCAGGCTGGCCTTGAACTCATAGAGATCCGCCTGCTTCTGCCTCCCGAGTGCTGGGATTAAAGGCCTGCGCCACCACCAGCCGGCTGGACCAGAACAACTAAAGGCATTGTTTATAAAGGATGCATTCTTGGCATTTATTAAGGGGCATTTTGAGATGAAATTTTTCAAAGACTATTTGAAAGCCTTTTTCAGTGATGATTAGAAGCTCCTTTTGACCCAGAGTTTTGACCGTCTTGGAAAACTATATGCACATGTAATGTTTGAAAAGGAAACTTAGAAAGGAGTCACTATGACATGTATAAATACATTTGGAAATCTGAAGCGTATTTTATGACAATTTATTTTCGCAGACATAGCCCAGCAAATTCTGAATGAACTTGCCTCATCAAAAACAAGCTGGGCTAAGGTAAGAAGCCCGGCTAGATTTAAGACATATGGGTTGCTTATATTCAGACAGACTGTGGCTATTCCTCATGGAAGGGGACTGAATCACCGGTTGTCAAGGCAAAACCAAAAGCAAATCAAAGGGTCAGAAACTCATACAAGACTCCTGCTTGAGAAAGTGACTCAAAAAGAGAGAAAAGCGCAGAGTGATGTGTTGGGGCTTTCTTGATGACTTCTTTATTCTAAAAGGGGACCATTATGGCTGGCAGAACACACACACACACACACACACACACACACACACACACACACACACACACACCTACCTGCTCCCAATCTAGTTACAATTCTTAATTTTCCCTTTGAGTTGCTTAGAGTATATTATAGTTCATTAAGTCATAGTCTTAGTAAAACTGGTAGGAACCAGTCACTCGGCCTCACTCAGAGTTAAGGCCAGGATGGGATCTAAGCAAGTGTGCATACAAATCCATAAGTAATGCTGATGCTTCAGGTCTGGGAGACACACTTTGAGAACCACTTGAATAGTTGGTGGGTAGGTTCTAGAGTTAGATTCTGGGCTCCAAAGGTTGGCATTAACTTTTGTCAACAGGAGGACTCTTGGGTTGTATAACCTCTCCATTAGCATTATGGTCCTGCACCCCGTTCAAAAGGAATTGCACCTGCTGTGTGGCCCCAGGTGGACAGGAAAATGCACAAAAGCACAGTTGTGATGGGCAGTAGTACCTCCTGAAGTCCAAAAATTAGTTCCTCCAGCACACCATTACAGCAAGCTGCTGCTGGGTCCAGAAGCCCTGCCCCTTGACCACAGAGAGGCACTGGGATATCTCTGGGTGGCAGCAGTTGGTGAGGCCTGGGGATTCTGGATTACCCAGAGCTAACATATAGATAGATCCTGCAGGCTTCTGCACACAGAACCCTAGCTTTCACTTCAAGTCCACTTCAAAGACCAGTTCTCGAACTGTGCCTCAGATACAGCAGTGGCCAGGAGCACCCTATGTACACTTTTATTGGTGGTTGATGTTCCTGAGAAACAAATTCACACAGAGCAGAGGCACCCCTGTTCCTCAAGCACCAAAATTCAGGTTTGGATCAATTTGAATGCTTGAGTGTACAAGTCAAGTGCCGGGATTAAAAATTCAGTCCTCTCCATGCTTAGCACCAATTCTTCTGCCCGTGACACTTCAAATTAGATTTAAACAAGACTGCAGAGAAAATCCGCAGAGTTCCATTGCTTATACTTGCTTTTTGCTTTTATTATCAACAATCAAGTTAATGGTACACTCTTGGAAAACTATATGCACATGTAGAAATATTTCCCCTTTAAATAGAAGCATTCATTATAACACGTATAAATAAATTTGAAAATCTGAAACATAACTTATGACGCTTATGTTCACAAACATAGTCCAACGAGAAGAAAATGAAATCAGACATACATGCACCTGATAACAAAAATATATACCATTGTCTGAACCTGGTCTCTCTAAACACAAAGGAATTGAACCCGTGAGAACCTTATTACGCCATAAAGACACACCATAGAGACTACAAGAAGAGAAAAACATTATACGGTCACGTAGAGGAGACGGTCTGTACTGAGAGTAACACGATACATTTGAGTCACAGAACACAGCTGTAGAAAGACACCGAAAAAGTTAAAGCCTCAACATTCAACTAATATCTATAGTTTGTGCCTTTTAAAATAAAATAAAATAAAAATCCCAACAGAGATGTCTAAACTGCGCATCAATATACAGTCCGTCCACCCTACAGGATGAGTCCAGCTCGGATCACTCAATCAGAAATGCAAGCCGAGACACTTTCTGCAAACTGTGTGTGTGTGTGTGTGTGTGTGTGTGTGTGTGTGTGTGTGTGTGTGTGTGTGTGTGCCTTTCCCGTGCTGGGTAGATTTCTCTGCAGCCAGCTCCGTGGGACTGCAACGGACTCCAATGCAAAGCAGTGCCAGAAAGTTCCGTAAAAGCTGGTGGAAGAAGAGGATGCCGGTGGGTCGGGGTGGCAGGAGAGAAAAACAAGGAGCGCTGTGAGATAGGAGGCGCGGTTCGCAGAGTTTGAGGATGAAAAGGCATCTCATGTACGGGGCATCTTTTCAGGGCCAAGCGGCTGCAAGATTCGGGTTTGGGGATAGCAACGGTGTGGCAATCAGTCGCGCTCATGGCAAGATGATTTTCCGGCGAGGTGGGGGACAGGCAAGCGGGCTCCAGAAAGTCACTTTGGCTGCCAGGACAGTCTGAGTGAGCCATCTCTGCGGTGGCCGGAACCCAAGGACCTGAGGGGAACCAGGCTGGAAAGGCTGTCAGTATTCCTTCCTAAAGAGGAGTCACGAGAGTCTGTACAGTTGTGAGCATGAGAATTTAGGGGTTCGCAAGACCAAATCCTCAGTACTAGCCACAGTCCTCCCTTGCCCACTTTGTATTTTTAACTTGTCCCCTGCATGTGGATCTTTTTAACTTTTGTGATTTATTTTACTTTTTTTTTTCTAAAAAAAATCGTTGCTGCCTTCCGAATTTTTAATTTGTTTCTAAGAAGTCACTGAGTTGGTTGTGTCCCCCCCCCCCATATCTCTCCCTATCACCTACTTGGGGCCACAGACACACATTCTCCGAGACAAACATACACCCGACACTCAGACACAGCCCCCTGAGAGTGCCCCAAGTCCAGGCCACGCTGCTCACACCCCCTGGGCAGCAGGCAGAGCCCTGTCCGATGCGCAGCCCGAGGCAGGTGCGAAGCCGGGGAAGTTTTTGTTTGTTTTGTTTTGTTTTGTTTTGTTAGGGGAGGGAGGTTGAGGAACCGGGCAGGAGTGGGGTGGAAATGGGAGCGACGTCATTTTTTCGTTATTCGAATCGCGATCATTTTAGGCCTTCGATGAAAAAAGAAAAGAAAAAAAAAAAAGCCCCTGGCAGCAGCGACACTAGCCTTGGGTTTACCCACTCGCCCACTCGCCAGCCCGCGCCCGGGCTCGCCCGCCGCCGCCGCCGCAGGTCGCAGATCAGAACATACTGCTCTTCACTAAGGCGGCCTTGGCACCGTTGGGTCTTTGGAGCGAAGACAAGACGCTGGCGAAGGGGCCCCCAAGCGAATCCGGGATGGAGGTGATGGGGCCCGGGCCGGGAGCCCAGCCTTGTCCGGGGCCCCCGGCCGCAGCCAGGCCTCCCGCCGCCGCCGCCGCCGCCGCCGCTGCCGCCGCCGCCGCTGCAGCAGCCGCCGCAGCCGCACCGCCCTTGCCGGGTTCGCCTCCGGGGCCCCCTGGGCCCGCCGCGCCCGGAGCTCCGGTCGGGCTGGGCCCGCCGCCGCCGCCGCCGTTGGCCCCGCAGCTGGGGGTCGGGTTGGGGTTAGGTCCCGGGCCCCCGGTGCTGTCCGGATCGGTGCTCTTGGCCTCTTTGCTCTCGTCGTCCCGGGAGGAGTCGGACTTCTTGCCCGAGGAGCCGTTTTTGGCTGCAGCGGCCGCTGCGGCTGCGGCGCGCTCCTGCTTGCGAAACTTGGCCCGACGGTTCTGGAACCACACCTGCCCGAAGAGAGGGGGAGGTGAGGAAACGGGGCAAGAAAACCAGAAGGCGAAGTGGCGCTTGGGACGACCTACTTCGTTTCAGACGGTACACACACACACACACACACACACACACACACACACACACACACACACACACACACTTCGCTGTATGAATGGACCATTGACACCACAGCGAAGGACCAGTCCGACGAGTCCGCCCTCCTCGTTGCTGGTACCTCTTCCGAGAAACCGTCTTAGGGCTCGGACGAACGTGCCGGTGAAGTGGCACCGTAGGGGACAGGTTCAAGCCGGCCTGCTCCTAGGCCTCTCAAGTCTGACTGGAGAAAGGAGGGTGTCTTCCACTCTGGTGACCGCTCATCCCCTGGCCTTGCACTGGGCTGGCCGACCAGCTCCAGAACGTTCGCTCCTAATAGGCAGGTAGGGACGGTCCCTTCACGAATCTGTCTCAAGTCCTCGTTGCTCGGAAGTTACACCGCGTGCCACCGGCGCTAGGTTTTTCAAGGCGCTTGAGTTAGGAGGCACTTAGCAACCGAACGGTGACAGCTGGGCTGACAGAGTTACCGGCAAAGTCTGCAACCTTCCTCCCACCCGGCACTTCCCTTCTCCCGTTCAAACTCCCAACGGAAAAAAAAGTGGGAAACACTTTTCTCCCTCCCCTGGAGCTGAGGACCGAACCCGGGGCCTTGCGCTTCCCCGGCAAGCGCTCGACCAACTGAGCTAAATCCCCAACCCCGGTGGGAAACACTTGGCGGCTGTGAATAAATTGCCCAGAGCGTGGATCCTAGGCCCACCTCGTGCGCACGCCCACAGCGTTCCAAATCTCATTTCTCTGACCCGCCCTGGGTCCCTTCGGAACTCTTAAGCATCAGCAGCATCCGGCATCTAGCATCCACCCCTCCCTCACCCTCCCGCTGCGGCTCTCGGTCTCCTCTCCGCCGGGTACCTGGACTCTGGCCTCGGTGAGGTCAATCTTCAGCGCCAGCTCCTCCCGGGTGTAGATGTCAGGGTAGTGCGTCTCGGCGAAGACCCTCTCCAGCTCTTTGAGCTGCGCGCTTGTGAACGTGGTGCGGATGCGCCGCTGCTTGCGTTTCTCGTTGAGGCCGCCGTGGTCCGTGAAGAGTTTGTACGGAACTAGAGGGGGAGGACAGAGGAGGCTAGAGTGAGCAAAATACAGTCAGGAGTTTGGGGGCCGCCGAGCCAGCACGTGGGGACCCAAGGTCAGAGAGCCCGGGAGCCGCTGCGGACACCGGCGGCATCCGGAGGGAGTTTCAGCGGCGGCGACCTGCCAAGGGAACCCAGCACATTAGTAAGACACAGAAGCGGGGACTTTGTGTGGCTTCTTGTGGCCCCAGTGCCTTTGGATGGGTTGAAATAGCAAGCTGGAGGCCACCTGAGCCCCCGAACGGGGAACAGTGCGTCCAGCAAGAAAACAGTCCAAAAACATCAGCTGGAATATCAGAAAGCCAGGGACGAAGTTACCCCTCGCGCCTACTGTTGCCACTTTTCAATTCTCAGAAGTTGACGCCGACCAAAAGTTGGGGGATAGTGCTGTAAAAAAAAAACACAAACCAATAAATTCCAGAAATGATCATAAAAATGACCGGCCAAAGAGGTGTGAGCCGCTGTCGGTTCTTAAAAAAAAAAAAAAAAAAGGAGACACGGCCAGTAATGAGCTTTACTCTTTGTTATTTAATTATTTTCTAAGCTTTACGTCTCATCGCAAAGTAAATAAATTATGCCTATCATTTTGGCAGCTTAAGATAATTTTGTTGGCGGTTCGGGTGTGACTAGGATAGTGTAACCCTGTAAGTGAATTACCCCTCCCTGCAATCGCTTCTAACGTGATAAATTCTTTCATTTGTGTAAGCAAATTTCGTTTGGTAAATACTAAACACATTTCCATTTTCAAATGCAATCAAGGCTTCCTATATACGAGCGGAAAGGCAGCTTCTTCCGCTAAGAGAGCTCGCGGTCCTTACCTGCGGCGTACGGACTGCTCTGGTGGTCCCTGAGGGTGCCGAGGCTGCAGGATCCCGGAGTGAGGGACGGGCAGCCGGACGTGGCCCCAAAAGTGGTCCTGATCGGGTTATACTGGAAGCCACTGGCCTGGCTGCAGGAACTGAAGTCTGCATAGGCTGAAGCCAGGCTCGAGGTGTCCATCCCGGCCATACAGGACTCGTAGGCAGAGGAATTGAGGTAAGAATATTCCATTTTATACATTGAAAAGGTTCTGGGCGGCTCAGCCAAGTGGAAAAATGGAATAAAAGATGGGTGAGGAGACGGTGGCGGCGGCGGGGAGATGTGCACAGCTCAGTGCCTGCCTCCACACTGGCCTCCCTACTACCAGCAGAGCCTAGTTTTATGAAAAAGCCTCCTATGAGATGCCTTGTCTGAGGTCTCTAGAGCATATAGTCCTCATAATAAACTTGGCTCTTTCCACTTGGACAATAGCAAAGCGGTTGGTCTTATTGCTGGCGCTTTTTACATGACAATAACTCATCCGTCTATTGGGCTGGCACTGGGGAACCGAGCTGTCCAACCTCCCTATCATCGATTCCTGCATCTCTAATTAGAATTTAATACCACACCATTACGCACCGAGCCCCTGATCCTCCCTTCTAACCAGCTCCTGCCCTTTAATTCAATCACGCTACTTGGAAATAATGAAAGTTGGGTGACGATTTTCCCTGATCCAATTTCCAAGAGCTTTTAAGCCTTTTTAACTGATCATATACCTTAGGCATAAATTGAGATAGTGTGTTTTCCCCCTTCTTCGTCTTTTTTTTTTTTTCTTGGTTAGGGAGAAGAAACCTTGATGTCATAGAAAACCTGTTTTGTAAGAGTGTTACACGCTCAATTTAACAACAAGCCTACCCCCCGAAGTGCATGAAATGTTATAAAGACTGGGACATTGGCAAGACTCAGGCGCCCCTGTAACGTAGCGTAAGTGGGCCGAGGGGGTTTTATGTGAACGATAAGGATAAGCTGATTTCTTTAAAATACACCTGGTCGAAGGGGATGGGGGAAAAAATAGCTTCTTATCAATTGTGTTTCTGCTCGAAGCTTTATATGCTTTCCAGAGACGTGGACAGACAGCCCCCTTTACAAAAGTAAAATAAACAACCGAGTGAAGCTCTCAGAGGTAAAACATCTGGACTCCCTACCGAATGTTTCTCTGCGCTCAGCCTGCGCTGTGTCTGTCTGCGTTCGTTCCTGTAGATTTGCAGCGGTGTGTGTGTGTGTGTGTGTGTGTGTGTGTGTGTGTGTGTGTGTGTGTGTGTGTGAAGCTTCCCCGCGGTGGTTGTTCGTTTTAATTATTCGGTAGCTACCATGCCCAGCATGAAATGCACCCAAACGGGATCTTCTTTTCCAGCCTTCTAGTCTCTCCCTCCCTTTCGCCTCCTGGTTTTTCAGGCGCTCACAATCCCCTTCAGACTTGGGGTTTCCCAAAGAGGATCGCTGTCTGTTTGCCCTGTAGGTTTTCGGACTTCACTGAGTGGCACCCTTGCAATTTAAACAAACAAGGCAACGGCTGGAGGCAGCTCACTTTCCTAGTTCGATTCCTGGGGCTCTTGGGTTCTGGCAAGGAGGCACAAGGAGGCGCAGACAAAGAAGCCAGCCGTGATTTGTGGACCTCGGTGGCCCCATGATTTAAGCGGAGGGTAATTTTCATTTGGTTCGTTAGACTCTAGCAGAATAAAGGGAAATATTTCATTAAATCCTTCCTCTCGGTGGACAAGAGGGGGGAATGCTTAGTTGAATCGCCGTGTGGTGTAAACAAACCCTGGATATTTTATATGAATTAAATGTGTAGATAATTAGTTTTATTGCATTCATTACCCCCTTTATGTGCTCTGTAACAAGTCAGTAATTAAAGTAACAAACTCATAAAGTCTTTATAGGGGCATTTAGGCGTTCAGTGTTTGCCAAACTAAGTGGTTTAATTCGATGCTAGTGCCGGGGAGTGGATGGGCGCACGCTCTCCGCTGCTACCCTGCTTTATTACGCACTAAACCGCTGCAGACTCGGTAATGGATTAAACCCGGACAGCGGCCCCCAGCCTTTTCAGCTTCCTCCCAGGTGTTTGCGCATCCTCTGGACGTAAGAGCGCTGAACTGGCAAGGGCAGGCAAGGGAACCCACCGAGGAAGCTGGTGATAGTTTTATGGGGAGGGCTGATAGTTTTATTGCAGTTGTACGCTGTACAATGCGTATTTGATAAAGAGGGGCCCTCGGTGACCAATGCGCACTTTTTTTGTGCAGCGGGGGGAAATGAAAATAAATGCGTCCGAGCTTTGACTGCGGCGGGAAACAAATTGCAACACTCTAAATGGTTTTTCTTTATGGTCACAAGACAAGAGGAGAAAGGGGGATGCAAACATCTGTCTTCAGACCCTGAACCTAAAGGCCAGCAAAGACGGATGCGAATCCAAGGGTTATTACAGCGCGGATTTGTCTTTATTTATCGCTCTCTCATGAATATGAATCTGCATCTGGACCGGGAGGTGCCTGTACCCCACGGACTCCACATGGAATTTCCCTCACTGGTATTCTCCCACTGCCTTCCACTTCAGGGAGGTGGGGGATAAGTTACCAAGCACAAGGCTACATTGTCCAAGTTTCTCTGTTCCCTGGGACTCAGGGGTGAGGGGGGCAAAAGGAAAAGAGTGCGTCCTGGTTTTTCTGAAAGGGGTGTTGTAGCTCAGGCCCGAGTTCTGAAGATGCCAAGGCGTGGGATCTAGGCCAGGTTAGGCCAGATTAACACCGGCCAGCTCCTCTTCCTGGCAGAGGTGGGCTTTAAGCTATTTTTCTGCAAGAGAGACATTTTAGGGAGGAGGTGCGTTTAGTCTCTAAAGCTTAGGTTTAGCAAAGCCCAGGTTCACAGCCTGCCTGAGGTGCATCTCGGGGTGTTCCACTCGAAGCCACCCCGACTCCTGGCAGCTGCTCTTCCACGGAGCCCAGAGCCCTACACCAGACCGGCATGCCACGCATTTTCACGCGGCGTTCCAACAGCCTTCACCTGACTTCAGCTTCAGACCACTCTAGGTTGAAAGTCAAAACGCACGGGGCTGGTTTTTTGAAAGGAGTTTGGAAAGAGGTCCTGGCTATTCAGCAGCTCAGGGCCCTGCGTGCTGGAAGGGAGAAAGAGAGAGTGGGGACCAGGAATCTCGGCAAGGGAAATGCCCTGGGAGGAGGGATAAGCCACCGCAGGGCGCCAGCCCAGGGCTGGTCCCTCCCCGCAGTCTGGCTCCAAGCCGCCTCCACTTGGTCGCGCCAGCCGCCTTTAGGGTGCCAGCCCTGTTCTGTGGACCATCCTCGGTCCCTCTCCAGACGCCCCCTGGTGCCCATCCTCTTGTGGCCCGTGTGCTGAGCGCCTCCTGGAAGACCTTTCCGAACTAGAACCGCACGGTTGGATGAGCAAACGCTCTTGACTTCATTTTTCCCATTGTAGGACTTTGTAGGTTTATTTTGTTCAATGTCACCGTCCCTCCCACCCGCCCCTTCCCCAGCCCCGGCCCCTCTTTTGTGGCTCGGGGGTCCTGATTCTGTACAGCCATGAAAGGCTTGTGAGGCTGGGCCAGGCCAGAGCTCCAGTCCCAGCTCCCTGCTTTGTCCGGGTTGTGCTTTCTACACGCGAGCTCTCCCCTAAAAGTTGTACCAAATGGTTAATTTAATTACTCCAACTATAGACCAACTGCTTCAGCAGCCGCACCACGCGTCTGGGAGGAAAAAAGAAGCCATCTATAAGAAATAATCTAATAAAAGTGAAGTGTAGAAAAACCCCTCCTGGTTTTCAACCGGCACAAATAGAATTAAAGGTTCAGCATCCTTTTCCCAAACAGACCTTTTGTCCAGATCACAACTTCAGCCAACCAGCCGTGTGTCCAGGGCCTGCTATTTATTTTAATAGAGGCGGGTGGGAAGCGAGATGGATTGATAGATAAATGGCCACATGGATAGATGGATGGTTTGATCCATCTTCTTCTGTCTCTCGTTTCTTAGTATGTGTACACGGTTGACTTTTTATCCCCTTGCCAATTTCTAAATCAATAATGGAAAGGCAATTCTATGTGGCAAAAGAAAAAAAAAAGCCCGCTATTTAAAGAACAAGAGAAGAAGAAGACTACCCGCACATATACTATGGGGGGGGGGGGGATGTTTACAGGCTACCAAATGAAAAAGGTTGAAGGTTTAAAAGAAACGTTCCTTCCCTTTTCTTTGCCATTCATAAGAGGGTTTCTTCTTCTTCTTCTTTTTTTTTTTCCCCTTGAAAGTCAGAAAGAATGTTAGAAGACAAGGAGTCAAAACCAGCAAACAAAATGCCATTGTATTGTAGTAGCGATTCATGGGGAAATGCTCGCCAGCCCCCCTCATGCCTCGCTCTTAGGAGACTGTTTTACCCTAGGCAAGGCACAATAACAGAGACGAATAAAATATTAAATACCAGTGAGAGTTTCAGAGGAATTTTCTGTTTGCTTTATTTAATGCTACGTCTGAATTGCCCGGGCACAGCCAACTCCTGCCTGGTGGATATGAAACTCGGAGCCAGTGTTCCCTCAACCAGAGAATTAGAGGGTGCAGTTTGTCCTTGGCCTTCTCTGCACAAAGAATGCTGCAGGGCTGCAATTTTCCTCCTTTACCTGCACTAAGAAAATAATCCTCACAGAATTTATCAGGACACCAACTCCCAGAACAGAAAACAAAGCAGCCAGAACAGTCTCCAAACCTGACTCAGGTCAACTGTATATTCATTCACCCGGCATTTGAGAATCTTTACTACAGACAACATCTGCCTAGCAACCCAGATTCACATTTCCCAATAGAAACCTTTTTTGGTTTTTGTAACTAACCTCCTCACACCATGATGCTAATAATTATTAACTGCTTGTCAATAGATGCAAAGCAAGTAACATGGAGCTTGGCACTTGAAGAGAATCCGGTGATGGTTAGCCACCAGCATTAGGGTGATGAGGATGATGGCATTGGAAGACTGCTTGAAGTCTTTTAGGACTGTGAGGTGAACACTGGGTTTTGCATGAAGCATAGGTGCATATCTTTCCAATTGCATACTTATAACGTGTATATAGGATGGTAACCAGTCACCCAGCAGTTCCAGGTTATCGGTAGGAAAAAGTGAGCGATCAAGCATGAACATTCCATTTTTTAAGGGATTTACTAGAAGATATATAGGCATAGATGATAAGCTAATCCTATGTTTCA